ATATATAAGAAAATTTCTTGATGTCACTAGCACAATGACGATATGAGACTCAACAAATAAATATAATATTCAAAGGTAAATTATCTGTCGAAAATATACATACAACAAATAAATATTTGCACTCGAGGCACCGAGAAAAATCGCAATTATCTCACGTTAGGTGCTAAATAGGCGTAAACACGTATGCTAGAATTCTGTAATTAGTTGGGAGCTGGCGAAACCGAATCTTACGTAACTTCTAATCTATAAAAATATGATATACGATTTATATAACAATATTATTTCACTATTTACACATGCCTGTGTCTCTCTCTCTCTCACGAATTAATTTTGTAATATTCGAAAATTTTGTTTTTAAACTTGAACTCTATAAAAATTTAGCTCACATATTTTATATGGTATGATCCCGCGTAGATCCAAGATCTAGCAGTGATTAACTTTGGTCTAAGTGGTCTAAATCTAGTCTAGTCTAGTATAGTGTATGGCGATAATAACGAAAAGTATTCTTGGCAAATGGTAAAATAAAAGAAATGGTTACCAAATTTGATCCTTGTTTTCGTTAAAAACTGTAATATATTACAGCTCAATAGGCATGCGAATTTAAGATCTGCTGAACTCCATTTCTATAAAGATATCAAAATAATGAGAGTCGAGTAGGGCCAACCGAATGATCAATCCAAATCAACAATTTGTGTGAATCTTCCATATTATAATGGATATACATATATTTATAATAATTGTCTATAAGCAGAAATCAGTTAGTCAAACAGGGTCCCTCATGCACCTGAGTCAAATTAACGCCGTAGCCCGCAGCTGCGACAGCGAAGCAGTTGAGTATGCACAAATTGGGATACGTTATGTTATCGCTGCCGCAGATTTCTTTGAAACTGTCGTCACATTGACACGTAGGCCGCTGAGCGTCGTTGGAGGGGGTGAGAGCGCTTAGGATATGCAAGCTGATAGCGATAATAGCGCAGATCCGCATGACGAACAATTCTGGGCAACTGGCAAACGAATGCTAAAGCTTCCAAAAGTTATCTTGAAATGTTAGCTCTGTTTTCTTACAACCTGCAAGGCGTTAATAATCAATATATTACTCTCTAATAGGCTTGCAAATTGTTAAAGAACTCGGACTGCCTTAGCCGAGAGCCCCACTAGGAAATTTCTCAGAGATAAACCGTGACTCGAAATAGTCGTACTTCATTCAAAATCAATTAGAAATTCTTTATTCACATGTAATCAAAGCAAAGAAAAAGTAATTAACTTGGATTGAATTTTGCAATAGTCGGAAAAATATTTATTTAACTTGAAGTGTGAAGTGAACAATTCACATTTTTAGATTGTATAATCTTAGTGTAACTCCGGAACCTAACAGGGCCCAGCTTTGACCAGAGTCAAAGGATTGCCGTGACGTGCTGTACGCTTGGCGGAGCAGTTTAGCTCGCACGGATTTGGATACGTGATGCCATCGCTGCCGCAGACCAGCTCAAAGTTGCGCGTACAGGCGCAAATCTCACTCCGATCCTCCGCGGTGGAGAGGGAGAGCAGTGCCAACAGGCAGACGGCGATAAGAGCGCAAAGCCGCATAACGATTGCAATTGGTCGACTGGGTGACTGGGTGACTCTGTGACTGTGTGACTGGGTGACTGGTTAGACAATACTAAAGCTTTCTACAGTTGCTAGCTTTATTTTATATTCGAATAGATAAAAGCCGCAACGCAAAGCAACAACAGCTCTAAGTGCTCTATGGCTGGCCAATCCGCCAATAACTGCCTGATAATACGTCAGCAATTAGCCAGACAATTGGGCGTATTTAGTAGTCGGAGCAAGATATCCTTAATATATCAATAAATCACAATCAGAATAGTCGAAGCGGGATGGAGATATTCGTCTCATAAACCACATTTAATTTGAAGGTCATTTCGCCATGATTACTAAATTGACTTTTTCATTGTATTATTCCTTAAATCACCATACGACATTGAAATCATTCAACATTTATACAACATTCCAGGCGTTAAATTTCAGTTTTAGATACCGCCCGACCGATTGATGCTTTTACATGACTTTTTTTTTTTTTTTTTTTTT